CCCCAAAACCCCAAAACCCCAAAACCCCAAAACCCCATGTATATTATGTTTAGTTTTTATCAAATATTTTTACAATTTATATTAAAATATCTCTTTAGTTTATTCAAAAATTGTAATTATTGTTAGTTTTAGAATCAACAATAGAGCCCTCTTGATGAGGCGAATTCAATCCTTACATTGAATTATCGTCATAAACATTATTCTATGCACTCTGCAGTCTGTTTCTACGCATTACTCTCTAACTAAAATCTGAATTTTTCAGTGGGAAATAAATATTCTAATCCGCTGATGATCTTATAGATATTCTTCTCTGTAAACTATTGTAGTAAGCTTGAGGTACCACTGTATTCCTTCCTTTGAACAAACTATTGATCTTTGTCTCATATTTCTAAAATGGTACTTCGACGAATGTCTTGCCTTTAATGTTATTTCTACCTCTCATTGTCTTTTAGGATACTAATGCATATTCATTCTATGGTTGCTGCTAAGTACTCAGATTTTTCTTAAGCTAAGTTACCATTCCTGATGGGATTTCTCCAGCTGTCGTTGTGGCATTAGCCTTTATAATGGAATTTTCACGGAAGTTTTAATAGCTTTAGTTCATTTTCTCCAATAAGGTTTAATTCATCAGCTATTTCCTAAAGCTGTTAATATTCGAATTGGCTGTAGTATTAGGTCTGAATTCTCCACGAATATTAAGAGTTTTAGCAATATTTAATGACCTTGATGTAAACTGTGCTGCTAGTGCCACCTTTTTTGTATGAGCTTTATCATAACCAAGGTCTATTTGTCCAAACGATTTGTTAATGCTTTAAAGGTATTAAGCTCTTTTTTAATGCCTCGATCTATGTTAGGCGGTGGATATTAATTTTTGATTCGAAAATATCGTAGCTGCCTAAGTTTCAGCTTCCTAATCTATTGATGATTCCATTACTTTTATACGGTTGACATGAACTGCGCTCTAGGTTTTCATGTAATCATAGTCAATTATCTTGCAATCATTCTTGATATTTGGATTAGGTGCAAGCATTCCAAGACTGCTCAGATGATGATATTGGTCCTTCGTCTCAGAATTAGGATCAATTTATTTATACCTATTTTTATGCTATTTCTCCGGCTTTTCATAGCCAAATATTTACTCTCTCAATTGTTCTAATCGTTTCAAATCATCATCTTGAATGTAATTCGTCAATGGCTTTGAATATTTATGCATTCTTCGATTTTAACTAGTCAGATATATTTTATAGTTTTAATCTGCAAGCTTTAGGTGAGTTTTCTTAAGTTGATCTCTAGCTTATTCTGAACCTTAAGGATAATTGTTGAAGATATGCCTGTTAATGTCCTTAGCTCCCTAGAGTAGATTGAAGTTCTTTTGATTTTCCAATAAGTACTCTTCAATTTTAATCAGCCTATCATAAAACCATCTATATTTTTCTAAAACCTTTATCTTCATCTCGTTTATACACTCTTTAGGCCAAGTTTGAAGCATTTCTTGTGAGGAAATACGATATACTATGACATCTGTTTTAGCTACAGCTGAATAGCTTAAGGGAAGGTTGAATAATCCAGAGTCCTCACAGAGGAAATTTTCTCCCGTTACTATTCCCAATTCTATACCAAGGTGCTCCTCACTTTAGATAGGATTCTTGATGAATTCAAGTTATTTTATAGTTTTAATTATTTTCCCATTTTTATCATAGAGAAACTCAGGCCTCTTCATGAGTTTGATTTCTCCTCTAAGCACAAGGTAAACATATTTAGCAACCTCATTTTCATTTTCTATTAAAGTGTCTTGCTTAAACTCCTATATTATAAATTAAGCATATAGAGTTCTCGTTTACAAATTCTTAAAAGGAAAAGAATATCTACTACTTTTTTGAATAAGATTTCTAAGCTAATGATGGTATCAGTTCTTAAACTAGTTTAAAAAGTCGCTCTTCCTCTCTATATTTGTCCTAAAAATAAGGTGTTAGGTCTTATCAAGTATTAACTTTTTATTTTTTTTTACTTTTGCATAGTTGAGATAAATTTTAAAAGGCATAGAAATCACAATGGTCTAGGCGGAAGTACTGTAAATTCTATCAATACTTAGATTCTTGATCTTGTCTTTGTATCTTTTTTCAGGATCTACAAATTTGCCTTCATCCAATTCGCATGTGTGTAATGTTTTATTATCCTTGTCCACAAACTTTGTTAACTCTACTTTTATTGATCCTTAGATAACGTAAACAAAATCAGGTTGATTGAAATCTCTCATTGGTACATCTTAATTTTCTTGTAGATATAGCACAGTCATTAGTCCATACATCTATTTGAATATAATTTAAGATTAAGAATGCCTACTCTCTATTTGGTAATGATACAGAGCGACTTGAGGGCAGAGACTTTTTCAACTGTCTCCTTGATTTATTTTTACTCTTAAGCAAGAGTTAATTTATCCATAAATAATTTATTTAAGCTTCAGTAATAAAATAAATTCATGTTGATATCAACTTTACCCAAAAATTGCTCACTCGGGGTTTTGGGGTTTTGGGGGTTTTGGGG